AAGTTTTGAGACATTGTTATGCAGTCTGAGAAATTTGTAAAACTGTGTTTTGCAGTAATTTCTTAATAGAAGATTCAATGACTACTTAATTCTCCACTACGCAAAAAAAAAAAAAAAAAAAAAAAAAGAAAATCTAATTTCTTTATATTCTACAAGTCTATTTTTCACAGGTAGTGATAAAATACACACTCCATAACGATGAAAAGTTCCAACAGCAACACGGCAATAAAATTTAATTTTAAAGTACTAAAGAATACTTAGATTTTTTTTCTGGTAAAATGCAATACTCTCTTCCTTTCATCTGATTAAGAAGTTATAAAAATGTGCACACTTTCTCTGATAGGGCAGATGACACTGAGAGCCTACTTACATTTACTAGTAACTAAAGGAGACATTCAGATATTAATATAAAAGGTCTTGTTTTCTTTAGTAAAAACAAACATGCTTCTAGCAACTGTTACTGCACATATTTTGCTTTCATTTTCATATGCTTTGATACAAATGCATCAGGTGTGAAAACAAACATTTTAAATAAATTGTAGTTCAAGTTAAAATAATTTTAAATTAGTGGCCAGACAGAGAAAAACACTGCAGGGTTATCTTTTGCCTCTGAAGACAGCAAAAACTTCCCATAACAATACATTTAATGACCCAGAACACTTAGAATTAAAGTTTTCGGGGGCACTCAAAACACACCAACTTTCACATGCATTGTTTCGAATCCTCTTCAATCTCTATCAGTTCAACCTCACTCAGAAGACTCTGGGGCTGCTTTTCCCAAAACTTTTCCTGGAAGGCTTCGGACAGAATTTGAACGATTTCGGGATCTTATTTCTGATCACTCTATGGCGTTGCAAAACAAAAGTGACACTTTTTATAATAGAGAGGATTGTTTCCCAACCCCCACAGATGTGTAGGATTTTTAAAAGTGAAAGTTAGAAAAATAATCTTCTTCATCCTGACATATTTTCAATCCTCTTAAAACAATCTCAACAACTATATATAGTATGAAATTAGCTCTTGCCTGTTACCCTTGTTCCTACATAGACTTTTCTAATGTGTCTCACCAGTAATAAATTGTAAACGAGGCTATGACTCTAAGAGTAGACAGTGTTTTTCATGGGTATTTAAACAATAGCATTAAGTACTATAGGAATCTGTGGAATGTGGACTGCAGATTTATGTGTCTTAACAATTTCTTTACTGGTTTGTAATAAGCCAGCAAACCAACATTTTATTTTTATATTAATTTGGCCTCAGAAGTAGAGTATACTGGAGCATGACAAGAACAACAAAAGTAAACTGGCATATACTTAATAACTGTAACAGTGAATTGCCTCCAATACTAAAATATTTATCGAAACTGGGGGGGGGGGGGAGTTGGAATAGAAAGAATTACCCTCAACAGCCTGCTACCAGCTCTTTAACAGTGGGCAATGTAATGCCTTAAGGTACCTCAAACTGTCTTTCATTTTCTAGACTTAATGGCTGATTGCAGAAATCAATGTTGCCATTAGTAACAGAGTATTTGTTATGGCATGATTTCCTCTGTTGTTAGGCTTGCAAAATGATTACAGTATTAGTGAGGTGCTTTCTTTATAAAGGGCTAAAGATATAACTTTCAATTTACTATCCATTAGTAAGTGACTTTGGAAATATACATGAGGCCAGAAATCTTACCTGTTATTACTTGCAGATTTTATTTCAGCAGTCATAGGCTAGTAACTTTAAAAATTGTACCAGGAAGCTCAATATTTTATAGACATCTCCAATGAAATATTATCTGCTTTGCTATTTATACACAGCAAGTTAACATGACATACAATGCAATTAAAATGTTTCAGTCCAATTTCTATTTTTCTTGTACTTTCAAATAGATGTGAATTAAGCAGAAGGCTTCATACATGTTAAAATCTGCACATAAGTTAAAAGATTGTCAAAAGGTTAGTCATTTGTATTTCTGACTCTCTTTTTAATCAGTCCAGTGGCCAGGTACAAGGACATCTCTCAGCTAAGCAAGTGACGTGGTTGTCAGAGTAGGGGCAATCAGAGAGGATAGCCAACACACCGTTTATTAACTACAGCTCAGAGGCATCTTTCCTCACCCTTTTACGTTGAGGACATGGAAAGATCTGCAGGAGAGGCACCGTGAATAAAAGAGGAGACAAAAAACACCTTCCAAAACCTGGAGGGAGAGGCCCTGGAAGCGACATTGCCATTGGTGGCTGTACAGACCCTGCACACTGCTGCCGGTGGGGTGGCAGAGGTGACAGCTGAAAGGCTGGAAAACCTGCCCTTGGAGAGGGAAAAGGGTGAGCCGAGAATTAACCTCGAAGGCATTGCGGGAACCCAAACACAGATGTTCTGGCAAATAACACCATGTCCCCGTGGACTGCTAGGAAACGACCTAACAAGAGAACACATAAACTCCTTTGCTGCTGTGATTTCAAATATAGCTATGAAGCTTTCAGTGCAGAGAGGGAAGGAGAAGTTATCATACCTGAAGAGGAGGGTGAGGAAGGATGTGGGCTGTCCTCCTGGGCACTCCCCGTCTGCGAGAGACCCCCACCTACTCCGCTTTCTTCAGTAATGTTAGAGGACCCTGGTGTTGTCGACCTGCTGACAGACTGAGACTCTTGATCACTGCCAGACCCACGTCGCTCATCGAGACTACCTTGAATTATTTCATCGTCTCCTTTCCTGTCTCTTTTGTGGACCCTGGAGTGAACGACCACTTGGTGGTATGTTCTAAAAACCCTTCCGCAGTCCGGGCATTCAGTTGGCTTTTCTTTTACGTTTCCATGACTTTGTAAGTTGTAATCGAGCCCCTGGTTCATACCATGTGACAAAAAATCTCTACTGCCTTCTAAAGGGTCTAGTTTGTTTGGCAAGTCTCTCTGATTGCCCATTTTAGTGCTGTGAACCAAATCAGCAGGCATTTTCTGCTTAGAGCCATCTGCTCCTACTAACACATACTCCCGCTTCTCCTTATCAAACATAACTCCAGCATTTGCCAAAGTGTCTTCATGGCTGCGCTGTATCTGCTGCTCTTTAGACAAAAAGCCATGTTCCATGGCCATTCCCCTTGCCATAAGCTGCCAGGCCTGATAGCTGTTTACTGGATCCATCTCTGCTGCTTTGGCGGCAGCTTGTAACCTTTCTATACAGCTGGATTTCAGAGGAGGCACCAGATTGAGACAGCCCAATAAAGAATGTTTATCCCCTTCAGCAATACTGTGGCCAATGCCAGAAATGGGTGAAAGGAGCTTCCCCAAAACTTCTTTCTCTTTCATGGGCATGTCTCCTTTGTTATAGATTTGATTTTGTTCACTTAAACTTGCTTTGTCAGGAGGAAGAAACCCACTCTGCAAACATGACAGATATCTTGAATACAAGTTTGCATGAGCTTCCTGGGACATGCTGCTGATGGAGACAGGTACTTCGGGATCATTAGGAGATTTGTTCTTTACAGATAACTTATTCAGGTGAACTTTCATGTGATTTTTAAGAAACCAAGGCTCTTTGAATCGCCTCCCACAGATCTGACAGCAGTGTTCAAAGGAATCCTTGTGCTTTCTCATGTGGCCTTTTAGGAACCAGGCTTGGCTAAACACTTGGCCACACACCTCGCAGCGAAACTCATTGGTGGATTGCTCCCCATTCCCGTTGGAGCCCTGGCCCTGCGCTGACTCTGCAGTTATGTGAGCCTTCTCCACGTGGCTAATCAGCTCCTCCTCCTGCGAGGCGGCAAAGTCACACAGGGTGCACTTGTAAGGCTTGTGCAGGATCCTTATGTGCCTGTCCAGCTCTTCTCTCTTCTTAAACTTGCCTTTGCAAAATGTGCATCTGAACCCAGCTGTCTGAGCAACAACTTCTTCCTGGACACTGACTGGTTTTGGAGAGGGAACAGGGTTTGAAATATCAGGTGTGCTGTGATTAGGCGGCACAGACAAGTTACAGTTTGCGAGCGGCATTGGCTGGGTGTGCTGCTGTGCCTTCACATCAGGTCGTGGCTGCAAGAGGCTGCTCTTCATCTGTTTGTCCCGAAGAATTGCTCTCTCCTCCAGTTCGTGTAAAAGCCTGTTTTCTTCTCGGACTCTTCCACGACCTTTGCCGAGGTTTCCAAGCTTATGAGTACGCAGGTGTATCTTCAGGTTGCCTTTCTGAGCTGCTCTGTGGTCACAGTAGGGACACTTAAATGGTTTCTCTCCAGTATGAGTTCGCATGTGTAGTGACAGGATGCTGTTAAATCGAAAGCGTTTCCCACAGAGGGGACACGGGTACTTTCTGTTTTTCCTGGCATCATCCTCTATGTCGCTCATCTGAGACATAATCCCCAGGTTCTGTCCATTTAAAAACTGCTGCAGATCCACACGCCCATTCAAACTGGTATCCACCTCTCTATTGAGCTGGTTTGCCAAGAGGGCCATCTGACTGCTGATGGGCTGGTTTGCTATGGACATGTGGCTTTTGTCTTCTAGCGGCACTGATGCCTTCTCCTCCGGATTCTGCCTGTTCTGGAGCTCCGGGAAGGCATGGCTGAGCTGGGAAGTGATCTGGTGCAGCTTCTGACTCATTGAATATTGCCCATTTAGTATGGTGCTGTTGAGATGGGCGTCAGCTTCTGGCACAGCTGAAGAAACACCAAGGCACAAACTAGCTTCTTCCATCTCTGAAAATCAGAAGATAGTTTAGATTCAGACTGTGAAAGAGTTACAAACATTGAATCACTGACGTGCAATTTGCGTTTTATGTTTCACCTACTCATAATAATGCAAAGGAATTAGTGTAAAAACAATTAAAAGTGTATTAAATGCCAACTGTGCTACACAATTTTGATCATACATGTACTTTCATCATTCTGCATGTTTACCAAGAACTATTAATTGCTATTTTAAAATATGCTACAATTTCAAAACCTAATTATTACAGAAGGGGCAAAGGTTTTTACCACCTCCCTTGTCCTTTTTCTTGTGAAACTGCACCTGTCTGCATTTCTAAATCTATAGAAAAAGAAATCTTATGCATCTCTCCCATTTTCATTAGAAAAGCCAGCAAAAAAAAAAAAAACCACCAAAATAGAAATCCATTTGTAACTTTCGGTTCCATTAACCATATTCAATATATTACACATTCTACAATGAGAAAGATAGTTTTATGATTTGACAAGAAACCGATGGTATGATATTTACTGGTGTACAATAAAACAAGATAATGTTTTGGGAAAAAATAAAGGACAAGCTTTAGAACAATAAAAGGGATTTTGCTTTAGTCAACAAAAAGTGCAGTAATATCTCATTAAGCTGATTAGTATGCTGCTTAGAAACAGTACTAGGTGCTGTAACACATGATTATAATCATAAAAATCCTTCAGTGTTTGCAAGTAAGCATTAACGAGGTATATTAAATTTTAAGGAGACTGCGACTAGCAGCTTTGTAAACCTCTGAGATTAAGATTTAACCCTTCTGTTACAAAACATTGTTATTTTGTCATTTTGAAACTGAGCCCATCAAAAGGCACATAAATTATCTTCTGCCAAGTCTTTCAATTCGTTGTTGAGAACCTTCAGATTTCTGTTCTTAGGAAAACTTGCCAGATTATAGAAGGAATATCTCTGTCCTTCGGCGGGTAAGACATGTGATTTAAGACACTTTGATTTGTTTTAAAGAGCTCTCTTATGGAACTAGATAAAACCAATTAAAATCTGGGGAAGGTGTTGTGGAAAGCCTCAACAAGTTTAAGAATTTTAATAACTTTCCTAATACACAGTAATGACTACAAATGGTACCTACACTACGTATATTGCAGAAAATTAGAATTCAAAGCTGTTTGCTAAACACAAGTGCTCTGTTCTGGTCTGCATAATTGTCCACAATAATCTATCCTTGCCACTTCTCTACTCCATACAGACATAATGTATCTATAAAAGTCTGTTTAAAATATAAAGTTTCACATAACTAACTCTCAAACTATATGATGCTATAAGGTTATATTAGAACATAATTAAGATTTTTGTTGTTCAGTGGAGTGATTTGACACTTAATTCACTCACAAAACTACTGAATTCTATATGTTATTAAAAAATTAATTTGATCAACCTTCTGTTTGGCTTTAGCCAAAAGCATTTATTCACTGCTCCTTCTAAAAAGGCTACAGGCATACTCCAGGTGGACATCATTCCTCACACAGATTCATAGTGGCCACTTGATAGACAATTCAAGGTCCAAATCTGGCACATACTTAAAATGCATGTAATTGTGCTCGTGAGAGTAGTCCAGAAGACTTCAAAGGGTGACTCTTGAAAGCAAAGTTCCACACGTGATTAAGTATTAGCAGGACCAGGGGTCTAAAAGAAAAAACCATGGGAGGTCCTTGAGAGGAAACCTATTTGGTCCTGACAGGATTGACTGGAGTTGTGACACAATGCAGATCTTGTAAGTAGAGGGAAGTGTATATTCATGTGTATTAAAGATGGATATGAGCTACACAATTTTGCTCAGACATAAAGCAGATCTTTTTCAAAATTTAACAGATTTAGGTCTCCTGTTGGGGATCCATCGTTGTCAATATTATTATTTATAAAAATATGAAAGAGATCAAGTTTAGAAAAGGACCACACTTAAGTTTAGCTTACAGTGTCTGATTTCCAAAGGCAGGGAAGCATAATCAAGCCAGGTGTTCACCCAAGGCCACGTAGCAAACAAAGAAAATTCTTAGTTGCTATGCAAGTTTTCTGTGCAGCAGACCACAATCATTCAAAATGTGAGTACACACAAACAATTTTTTTTAATTTTTGAAAGTTTGCTTAACTTTCAGAACAAAACAAATTGCATGTTCAAAAGGATTAACTAAACAACTTAAGAGTTGTCCTGCTTAGGTCTGTCATTGCCTGAAGTTGACTGAGAGTTTGAGTATCTGCCTACGCACTTCTTAAAAAAAAAAATAAGCAACAAATAACCTCCCAAAAAGCAACACAAGAAAAACCCCCAAACGAGAATCTACTTTCTGTCTGGATTCCACATAGCATGGGTGTTATTTCTCCCCACCATGCTTAAACAAGGCATGTTGGCAAACAAGAACACAAAAATTCAAGAAATGCATAGCATGTGCAGACACATACATACATTGAAGAGGGTCTAGAAAAGTCTTTGTGAATTGTCATTATTCTGTAACAGCTTGAAAAATGCAGTCTGAATTTCATTTTTTCAGTTGATCTCAGTAGGAACTGGTGCCTTTATGTGCTCAGAAAGGTTTGGGTAGTTAATTCTAGCATTTTATGCTCTATCGAAGTTTGGAAATGCTGAGAGATCCCAGTGGAATTTATTAATTCTGATGTTTAACCCTAAGCATCAGTTCAAATGTACAGTTATTTGGATTGGGGTGGGGAGTTATGGTTGAGATTTTTGTTATTCAGTGCCTCTTTTTCAAAGATAACTTTAATAAAGTAAGAACAGCAGTTGTAGCTGGAACCTGATAATTTCATCCAATTTTTCCTTTTTTCTATTTTCTGTCTTTCAAAAACGTACAGACACATATAATGTAGAATATAGACAGAATGAGTAAAAAAAATAATCAAGAAGAATACCAAATCCGTATTTTTTATTTAAAGACTAATAATTTTTATCAAGTCGGGTGAGCCTGAACCCCACACATTGATCTTCTGGCATAGGAAATTTTATATATTTTTGATTAAATATGCAGAAAGGTCAGCAAAGCCTCTGCTTAGTGAGCAGAGCTCTGAATGCTGCCCACTCCCATCAGCTGTGCAGTCTCTGGGATCCAGTTACCACAATCTCAAACACTACAGTTCTTCCATTAAACTGCATTCCCACCCTCACCTGCCCCAGCTCCTTGTAATCCTGTTCCTGCCTCTGAATTGTCTCCTCTTTTCCTCACTCCAACTCAATTTCATTGCAAAGTATAACCATGGCATTTAGAGTGAAATTCCTCCTCCTGCAATGCCAAGTTACTGCATTTCTGAACACAGGGAACCTGCTGCTGTTCAGCTGTCATGTAAATCACTCTTGGTACTCTTCAGGCCTCTCACAGCAAAACCTACCAAAATCTCATCTTGTATCCACATGAAAGACAGAAACATAACTCGTTCTCATCCATTATTCCACTATGAATTAAATAACTCATTCTAACTTGCCTAATTTCCCTTAAAAAGAATTAACAATTTCATTCTCCCCCTCTTTATCCATCATCCCTGTCTATATACATGACCAGACAGGGTTACACCAGGTGGGGTAAGGAGCTTTCATTCCCCACTGAGCCTCCTGCAGTTCATGGTACCCACCTCGGTGTCAAGGTGGTCATTGTACATCCTCTCCCCATGGCCTAGGACTGCTCTCCACAACACCCAGGAGGTGCAAGGGGGCTTCTGCATCACAGACATGCCCACGGCCTGCAGTCCTTCTGCCTCCCCATGGACTTCCCTACAGCCACAACCATCCTCCTCAGACTGGCCTGAAGTGCTATTTTACTGTATCCATTCTGCCTCAATAACCAAATGCCAAAAATACAACCAAAAAAAAAAAAAAAAAAAAAAAAAAAAAAAAAAAAAAAAAAAAAAAAAAAAAAAAAAAAAAAAAAAAAAAAAAAAAAAAAACCCAACCAAAAAAAACCAAACCAACAGACACCTGAATGGACTTCACTGAAATTTAGCTTTCAACAGATAATCAGTTTGTAATTTTGACAAAATAAATACTTTTGCGCACCATCTTACTTCATTATGACTTGCCCTTCTTGTTTGCCCAAGAATAAAAAATCTGGAAATGTCCATTTATAAGTGCTGCTGAGATGCTCCATAGAAGAAAAAGCATCTAGCTTTCAATTTTTAAATATATAGTCTATTACATTTTTTTTCATGATTCTGATATTTCCTATAAGGAAAGCACAGAATGTTTTGCCATCGCTCACACTGGGAACAGAAGCACAATGTTCTCAGTAGTTAACAAATGTTTACAAAATGAACTGCAAATCAAATTTGAGATCGTTAAGAAATTCAAAATATGTTTGTTGAAGTTTATGTAGTAAATTTCTGACCTTTAATTATCTCAAATGTTTTCTAAAGACAGCGTCCCTCAAGACATGGCACCGTACAGAGCGTGTTGGTATCAGGACTTGTTAGAGGCTGCCCTTCCTAACCTAAACAAACCCTCAGCTCTTGCCCAAGTGAGTTGCTCCGGCCAAAAAGTCCTGACCTCACCCTGCTACACACACAGGCTACAACCCAGCTGGTTCACACTGCTCAGGGCAGGGCAGGAGCACCCTCAGGGACCACCACACCAACCATCACCGTGCTGGGGTGTGTGGTTTCCCGTCCCTGTGAGGAGGGCACTCAGCTTATGAAATTCACAACGGGATACATATAATATAAAAATACTCTCTCATCTCCTACATGAAGGTACAGTGAGACATTCAAGTCCCTTTGATGATACTAATAGTTATTTTGATTTCGCTCACATTTTTGCCCTCAAGACTATTTCCTGTGATATCAATAACGAAAGTTCTGACTTTAGCCATTTCAATTGAACACACAGATTTTATTTAACTATTTGAAATGGATTACTGGAATTTAAAACCAATTATGACACCAGAAATGCCTGTCATCACAACTACATTAATGTAATACGAGAAGCTCAGCTTCCTCTTGCTGGAAACAGAGG